TGCATTTAGATCACCTAAAGCTTTTGTATTCAGCTTGTACTACATTAATAATTATCTTAATATGTGTAATGATTGATTTAGGTGTAGGCTACTCCATGTTTGTCAGTACTAGATGTCCATTTGATGTCTTTAATAAGTATAATAAGAGTAAGTTCTATTAATCATAATATATTGGTGTTTTGATTGTGTTGGAAAGACTGAATGGAAATAGTTTGCTAATTTATTCCAACAACTCTGTGCATAAAAATCAAATTTCTGTGAGTCTTCTTTAAGGTGTCTAAATTTAGTGTCTTTTGATGCAACGAGATGCACTATCAATATCTGTCTCTTCATTGGGTCTGTGTATATGTACTCACGGCATATGTGTCTTATTCTTCCTTCTAGCATGTTGTGGTAGTTTTCCTTATATCTTTTCCTTATATCTTTTGCACAGTTTTCTATGGGTTAGGCATTTTTTTTTCTTTTTTTTTTTCTTTCTTTCTTTCTTTTTTTTTTTTAATTGAATGTTGCTGCTTATGCTCATTGTGATCATACATATACAAGAATAACTATTCTTGAGTCTGGTCTTCTTAGTCTTTTTGGGTTGAATCCGGGTATTTATTCTTCACTAATGGATATCATTTTTTTCATTCTTCCACTAGATACATCCTGTTCAGCTGCTCTTGCTAGTTGAAAGCATTTTTCAGGGCCTAAGTTATTTTCTGTTCCATGGCCAATACTGTCTCTAAATAAGGAATCTTAGTATCTTCAAAACTATTTGTGCCATTAGCTCTGTAATGCTCTTACTTTGCTTTTTAGATTTTGACTAAAGTATCAAGCAGCCCCTCCATCATTTCAACAGATACAACTATAAAAAGCCCTGCACATCTCTACAGTTTTAGTTTGTTTGGGCCATGCAGTGCGTCAAGGACATGTCACTTACTTCAGTGTCCCCAACATTATTTCTAGTACTAATGACTCACTCTCTCCTCAACTTTTTTCTTTTTTTTGCCTTCAAACAACATCTCTGTCATTTTCTCTGTTTCATGAAGAGTTCTCCTCATAGGCTCAATTGCTATGTGTGTGAATGTTCATGCTTCAGTTGCTTGCTGAAAATTAAAAAATGGTATTTTGAGGCTCCTTCTCTGTTTTTTTTTTTTTCTTTTTTTTTTTTCCTGGTCTACCTGTTAATCAGCCTTTATCTCTTCTTGAAATTTAATTAGGCAGAATGTGGCTGCTATGTTTCACATTCTATATTTTGGGTTTATAATGGGTGCTGGAAAAGCCAGAGAGAGGGCATAGGGTAAAAATGCTTCCAGAGCAGAAAATGGGTAGCAGCATTTTGCAGCAACTAGAATTTGTATTCACCTTCTCGTTTCTTTTCACTTACCCTGAAATATGGTAATCCAGTCTGCAGGTGACTGATACATTGACCATACGGGCCAGATTCTTGTCTAGGGGGGAGGGGACAAGCTAGAGGAGAAATAATATGTACTTGGAAGCATATGCTACCAAAAGCATATGCATCCAAGTTTTTTGAGGAGTCAAAGAAGACCTTGAGTTTCCATGCAACTGAGGAAAAATGGCTGTTTCCCATCATAAAAAGGTGGAGGTCTTCAATGTGTTTCCCTTTGCAAAGAAGCACCACTTTGGTCTTGTCTGGATTCAGTTTGATCCATCTGTTCTTCATTTAAGAGCTAATTTCCTGTAGTTATTCTGATGTTTTATAGTGATGATAGTTGCATCAGAAAATGAGATAAATAGTAGATTGTCAGCAACATACTGTTAGCAATTGAACACATGCCATATCACTCTCTCTCTCAGCAGTCTCATGTAGATAGATGTAGATTATGTGGATCCCTGTGGGATCCTGAAGGTGAGGGGCTTGATGGAAGGGGCTTGTATCTACCACCTTTGCCTGAATTACATGTAGAATATGAGATCCAGTACTGCTGTGTCACTGGGGCTGTGTAATAGAAGATTCAGGTGCCTGAGAACAGGAACCTGGAGATTACAGTACCATGGTTGGCAGAAGCTTTATAAATTCCTCCAGGAAGTTGACAGAATTTCCATCTGTAGTTTGCGTACCACTAGGAGCCCTGGTTCCTCTAGTTCTTTGCCTCACCATACATATGGATATACTCAAGTGATTTCAGTTCTGGATGGAATATCTTCTTCATCTGACACTGAGACCACACGACCCTTCCTCCATATTTTCTTTTTTTTTTCTTTCTTTTCTTTTCCTTTTTTTTTTCCCCTTTTTTAATACTTCTGGTATTTATCTTGGCCTGTTACTAGTGGTGTTCTGGTATCTATCTTGGCTGTTCGGAGGGGTAGCTGTGCTAGGATGGGGTTGCGATGGTATTGAATCATGTCTCAGTGATTCAAAAAAGTCCAGGTGTTTCATTTGAAAGAAGACTACAGATGTGGGGCTTTCCTTAGGTAAAACTTTGCATTTAACAGAGGGATAATCATATTGCTTTCTTTTTATTTTTTATTTAATTATGTTACTATTTAAGCAAACATCTGAAAATACTAATTTTTAGTGTTTATTCTAATGCATGGTATTCTGGGAAGGTAATTCCTAGTGATACCAGGGATTTGGAGAAGTAACACCTAAAAACAATTCCTTTAACCCTTCCTTAAATTAAATTATTCCTAACCCTAACTTTAAATTCCCATATCTTAGAAACCATGTACAGTATAGTCTACAAAATGTGAATGCCTAGTCCTTAAGCAGGTATTAACACTGGACAAATAGTGTTGAAGTAGCAGTCTGAATTTCAAGGTGTTGTCTCCTCCAATATTTTAAAATTCTTTTGCTTATTGTAATCTCCTGCTACAGGATGCTGTGCACTTGAGATAGTAGGTAGTGGCTGGATGCAATACTATGGATTCTCCAGCAGAAAGGGAGGCAAAAGAGTCAAACAAACAAACAAAAACTCCTCAAGTCTTATGTCTATGAGTTTGTGAGCAACTATCTGCTTAGTTTTGGCTCAGTGTTAATCCTACTTATAATCAAATGGTCATGGGGAACATGTAATTCATGGTGCGAATCATACTTTTTCCAGGAGTATTGATAGTACTTTATGTTATTTTAGTAGTTAAACATAAAGACAAATTGATATTCTTTGCTTTTGATGTTTTGTATTATATAATGATAATTTGGTAGCACTTAATTATGAGGAAAGATGCTTTGCTTGCCAAGTGAAGGGGGTCTGGATAAAAATCCTGAGGGTAAGCACTGGAAAGATTAATAGTTTCAAAATGTGTTGATGAGCCTTGTCTGCCAAGCCAAATACCTGTATTCAGATGCTTTTACTGCAGACAGGGTGTTTGAAATGCAAATGTTATAGCAGAAACCCACTTCTATACAAGCCAAAACTTGAAGAAATAACGTTGTTAAGAAATAAATATGTATTACAAAACACTGTATTTAGCAAATCTCTATTCATTATAGCCTGGAAGCAGTGTAGTCAGCACAGTTCTAATTAAAGTGATTCATTTTCATGTGCTACATGTACACAAGTGTATATATATACACATGATGGCATTGCCTAAAAAACTAAGCCTGCAAGATGGAATGTGTTCTCCCAATAGATTTGATGCTTATCAGGTGCAAACAAATTTTAGTATAGAATTGGCATAAATTGTTTTGTCTGTTCTGCAGGTTTATCTCTGTAGCTGTCCAAAGATTCATCTTATTTCATTTTCAGTCATTTATGAAGTTTATTCTTGTGGCCATGGTATTTGTCTGAAAGAGTTTCAGCATGCCGAGCTGTGATATGCTTAGATTGTGGTGCAGGTTCTTTCCCAAAAACTGTTACACTGGCACAGCTTACATCAATACACATGTGATTATAGAGAAAGATCCCATTGCTAGAGTCGACTAAAAATATATTATTAATACAGTTCATTAAGGATTGGAATGAGTCTTTAGATGCAGAGAGACTGAGGTAATGTATGAACGAATACCTCTTGCCTCTTTGACTGCGTGCATACATCAGAGAAGCGCTTTTGTTCCCTTGCCTTCCTATGTCTCTGTTTATTAACACAAAGGAAGAGAAAAGCCATGAATCCTTCTCCCTTTCTTCCAGGTAGGTAGGTCAGGGAGAAACTCTCGCTTTGCTCTCTTTTGATAAATCATGATCAGAATAGGTTCCGTATGAGCACATGAAAGCTGCAGCGCTCATTTCTTACTCCCCTGGGCACCAGCAGACGTGCAGATGTGCACTGGATGGCGCAGGCCAGTGCATATGCCCTTGCTTGGGTTAGTAAGACACTGTGAATAACACCAGGCTTTCTTGCTTTTATGTATTGATTGGAAAGTTGGAAGAAAGTAACACTGACCTTTACTATTCCCAGCTCCTCCTAAGTATTTTGTGAGTGCATGATTTACTTCTGAAATTACAGATTTTTTTGTTTATTTATGTGTTTTCTCTCTTTTGATATAAAATACTTACATCAGAATAATAAAGGCTCATACGAGTCATTGAAGAATAAGGATTCACAAATTTGCACAATTTTCCTGAGCTACTTGCAAATAATGTATAATATAACCTTAAAAAATAAGTGCTTGCCTTTTTTTTTCAGTTTATTCAGTTGTCTGTACATAAGGGCTGTTTTACACACACACACACACACACACATGTGGTAGGTCTATAGCTGTGCAGTTAAAGAATTATCAGGAAAATGTATGCTATTTACTGCTTAGCTGAGCAAGCAATGCAGGACTGTAATACAATTCCCAGCACTTCCTATCCCATTGTTTTTTATTACTGAAGAAAGTAGCTCAGGATAACAGTTGGATGCAAAGACTGATCATATTTTCAGTATAAAAATAGTGCTTTGTTTAGTAAGCTATAGCACTTAAATGTGTAGGAGTGATCTACTGTCTTGCCCTGGATGTTTTTATCCTTTTCCTTAAAATATCTTTTGTTTGCACCCCCCACTAGGAAGGAAGGTATGTTTCCCATTAAGATATGAAGTGAGCTTGTTTTTCACTTTTGCTTTTTATATAGGGATACTGAATATAAAGGACTACAGCTCTCCTTGGATCAGGTCACAGCTACCAAGCCGGCATTCTCATACGCAAATTCAACTCCGACCATAACGGATAATAGAAAGGGGAGCAAATCTCGTCTCTCGAGCACAAAGTCAAAATCAAGGACCTCACCATATCCACAGGTAGCTGTCTTTGAAACACAAAATGAAGTCTTTTTGAATATCTTGAATTTGACTGATATTTTAACCAAGTAATTAGATTGGGCTTAAGAATATACTATGCAAGGAGAATAAAGGATGACAGGTTGTAAGATCTTGAGACAGGAATATGTTTCTTTAAACTGCTTCTGAAAGCTGGAAACAGTTATGTTTCAGCAGGCATAATAAATCATCATCAACAACAATAACAGCGCAGGGCTAATGAGGAGTGGACAGAAGGACAAGTGAAAATGCTTATTTTGAAATACTTATTTGGTTTGAGAGGACTGTGAATTTTGTCATTTGCAAAAAGTCTTGTTTTTCCTTACTCTTTACTAAGCTCATCTTATCCAGAAAGTTGCCAGATGTTTGACAGCAGATTATTATTGAAATGTTAGTCACAAGAAGTGAATTTTGAGGAGGAAAAGGGTGAGTTAGCTTGTTGAATGAGAACAACAAAATTCTTTCATGTACAAAACTTTGAATGGCAGAAAGCACTAGTAGTTGGCCATTAACTTTAATTTCTCAGATTTTGTGTTTATGCCTAATGTTTTTATGAACATGTCCCTGCTTGTAGAATGAACCAGACTCATTGGGTCTCTGAATTGAAGCTTATGTAATTTGTTCAGATGACTGATTTCCACAGACAGTGCCACAGCCTTCGCATACTTACACTGTTGACTGTTTTGCTCCGAGAAATCCAGTTTGTAACTAGCCATTGTGTTTACTAAACAATGGTCCACATCTTAGACTCTTGTCTCAGTGGAGCAGTTTCAACACAGTGGACATAAATATATGCATTCATGATGTAACACTGAAGCCTGAAGTATTTTTAGAGTTTAAGCCAATGTTTGGCCCATAATGACCTATGACTAGAGTTTCTCTGCCCGCATGACATATCCTAAACCGACTTCTTAACATGTGCCGAAATCTTTTTTTTTCCTTTCTTTCTCTTCTTTTTTTTTTTCTGCCCCGAAGTACCAAGAATAAACATTTCTGTTAAATGACATCTGCTCTTAATAGTGAGAATATTTAGCTCAGTGCCTAGATGAAATCAAATTCTTAATTTGAAGAATCTAATTTTACCAGAGATTGTTACGACTACTGTTGTTTAATCATCTATTCACAGATGTTTCTGTGGGTTGTTAAAAATGCTTTTGCTCTTGAATGTTCTAGAGCAAACAACTGTAATAAAACCACTTTAAAGAATTAGGGAAAATACCAATGCTTAGTCCTAAATTGTATTTATAAGATGACTGTCCTTGAGTTTTTGGACTCATTTAAAAGTCCTCATTAGTTAGCATGACTTTCCTTCCTGAAGACCTGTTATCCACCCATATCGTTCACCTTCTGAAACTGTGATTTTCGTCAGTGTCACTTTATTCTCTCTGTCACCAGAAAAAATTCCTGAACATCTTTACAGAGGTGTAGCGTGGAGGCTGATGATTTATCAGGGGTTTTTGGCTGAAAGCTTTGGCTGTTTATTCTCCAGTTTCATTTTGCATCCTCATTACAGCTGCATGGTAGTAAAGTCACAGATTTCGTCATTCATACAGAAGCAGCAGTGCTAGTTGCCAATCTCTTGAAAAATGGCCATACCGTTCATTGTAGCACATCACCACAAGCAACGCTGGCAGCTCGGCTTTGCATCCCTCTCATCCTTCTCAACCACTGAAAAAGCTGTTGAAAGACTAAGAAAAGCTGTTGTAAAGAAAATACAGCAGGTGGTATTGCCTGTGTCCCTCAGCCTTCAGCCCACATAATTTGCCAGTCAGTTGTGGAGAATTAGTGTGACTCAAAAGCCACGGTTGGAAAGTGAGGGTATGCATTTTGGCTTACAAACAAGCTTGGGTTTTCATGGGGAAAGGAAGCAGGAGGTTTATTAGTAAAATAATGGCAGTGGGAAGAGGCATTTCTCAAATTTAAGGGACCTAGGAGATTTTAAATTTATGCACTTTCTTCCCTTTTTTCTGTTTTTCTTTTCCCCTTAGCATTTACTTTGCTTCTTCACTCTTGAGCAGAAAAGGGAATCATATGCTTTATTGGGTGATGACTGAGAATCCACTCCCTTGCCAGCTGTGTGCCTCTAGGATAGCTGCATGAGATGTGAACTGTAAGAAAAACAGAGTTAATAAATTTCAGCTCGGTGTTCACTTTTAGGGCCAAAGGGGAAAGTTTTGGTCACCTAATACAGTATTAATGCTTTTTTTTTTTTTTTCCTCAAATCATATGCTAAAGCAAACATACAATTATATAGCACTTGTAGACTCTGTAATCAAAACTGATGTTATTAAATGAGAGGTGCAACTGATTTTAGCACAGTTGGCTTGTGAGTTCACAACCTGTGCCAAGCTGGAAGGGTGAGCAGAGAGAAAACCAACTCAGAATCCATCACACAACTCTAGGGTTTGCCTAAACACATTGAAGGTTGATCTTCTAGTGCTGTCATACCAGAGAAGAGGAGGATTCAAAGTAGAGGTGAAAGAAAATGGGAGAGATGAAGACTTGATAGGGATACGTAAAAAAAAAGAAATTGTGAGCTGGTTAAAAGATGTCTGTAATCTTTCCCCATAATAACAGTTATTGTGAGGGGCTCCCAAAATCTAGCCCTGGACCTCATTTATTTTGTGTTCCTAAAAGTTAGCCCTGGACCTCATTTATTCTGTACACAGGAAATAGCAACAAGATTGGAAAAACATTTTAATTGTGATCATCTGAGCAACTGCTTTGGAGTTTAATCTCCCATTAATGATGATCGTTCAAAGAAATTATTTAAAATTGTCTGTTGTCTGTCTCTAATGGAAAGGTTTTATGGTAAGATCTGGATAATTTTTTATTGCTTCATTTCTCTTGGTTCATTAGTTCATTAGTAATGATTTCTTGCATCGTGGCTTCATAGCTCTTGGATAAAGATATATATATATATGCATTCACATAAACAATTAAGGATATATTCAACATCGTTTGAGTGAGGGGTTGGCTTGTATTTATTGCATGCATTTATTTTTGGAAGCTATGGCCTTCTTTACTAAGTGCATATTAATAATTGCTAATTTACCACCCAACTGATAGTTACCTTAAAAATATTTTGGATTAATTCTGTAATCTATCTCTATCCAGACATATCACCCACTACTTGAAAAAACAGGGTAAGGGCAGCAGAATCAGGCCCTTTTGTTTATCATTTCTTACTGTAGCCTAAAGCTTTGGCAACTTCCAATGCATTCAAGAGCAAAGCAAAACCCTCTTTTTATAGTAAACATAACTCCTGATCTAGTGAAGAGTCACCAGCAGTGGGGGTTATTTTAATGGACATACTGTATTACTTTAATCTAAGCCTTTCACCATCTGTTCTGCCTATAATAGTGAATGCAAAAAGAACATATTTTACATTTCAGGATTACATTAGTAAAAAGTAAGATAAAAGTGATTTAAAAGCATGCATATGGTCTTAGTACAATGAGCCTGCATCTGTGATGTTTTTTTTTTCTCATGGTTAAGACACAAATCAAGGGGAAAGCTGCTAATGCTGATGTAGTGAAAGTTTTTCGTGGAAGAGAGGACTCTGCCCTGAGAGGGTTTCACTATATATTTAATGTTTATAATGATACAAACCTGAGAAGGCTGTCAGAAAATTATAGAACTACTACATTTATTGTTTGAACATCTGGCACTGTGTGTGGAACAGGCTGATGTTGCTGTGTATGACAAAATGATGCTCAGGCCGACAAGACACCCGTAGGTGTGAAAGGGTAGGTAAAAGAAAATCACTGAAGAAATACTGCAATTGTTTACTGATCTAATATATTTTTATGGCCTCTCTTAAAGCAAGCTTTTCTTAGCCAGGTAATTGATATTTTCCTGTTTCCTCGCTCTCATCATCCTTTCTGAAGCTTTTCTTGGAGCAAAAGGAGCATCAATGATGGTCAATAACCCCTTTCTGTGTCAGTGCTAATTCTGTTGATGTGTTCTCAATAGGTTGTTAGATTGAATTAGCACTTTGGAAGACATCATTGGTATCTGGAGATGCAAATTCAGTTATCAGGAAAAAGCTGGAGAATCATTTAATTTCTTTGCTGTGGCTGTTTATGTTGGAAGATGATTCAAAATCACTCAAAGTTATGTCAGGCATTATCTTTCTAAAAGTTCTTCATCTTATTTTGACTCCTGTCTGCTGGTTATACTAGATTTTGCCAAATAAAAAAATATATAAATTTTACGAGAAGTCAGAGCTAAAAAGATTAGCAGAAAGGAAAATATTCCTGGTGAGGCAGAGCTGGTCAGCTAACAACAACCCCCCCAGTACGTTCACTAATACTAATTGGCTACAATTTTCATTTAATCTAATCCTGTTCCTGTGGTCTTTCATCGCTTGACATATGGGAGCCTAATTCTGACTTGAGAGATAGGGTTTCCGCTCCCGTTTTAGCAGAGGACTATCTTTGATCATCCTTTCATTTCCCCCCCACTTTAGCATGTCATGCATGCCCATATTTGTACCCTCCACCTGTCAATGTCGGGTTACGAGAAGACGCAGTAGTAGGACAGAAGCAGTAGATACAGCCTGATGATGCCAAATTGAGATGTGATTAGCTTTAAAGGAGTTAAATATATTTTTGGGCTATGCCTGCTTGTGTTCTCCTCCAAGAATAAGTACTTATATCAAACCTCAGTAGACAAGGTGGGCCACAAGCAACTCACTATGTTGATTTAATTCTGCCCATGGCCTGGCAGCTTCCACAGGTCAGAACTCAAAGGATCATAATTTACATCAAGTACAAACAATATGCATGAGGTATTGTTGGTCTTGACTGCATGGTTGCATGTCAATACATGGTGCTTTCTGATACATTGAACATGTAGCCTTTGAAGTAGTCTTCTGCTCTTTTAAGAAAAATATTTGAAGGCCCTATACAATTTAATGCTTTGTAGTTAGGTCTAAGATATAAAAAGGAATGAGCAGTTTTTCATTTATATGAAGATGTTCCTTTCAAATGTAGTATCTTTAGGACCAGAGAGCTGCTGGAAGATTATCTCCATTTCATGGAAGTCCAAACTTTCATTTTGAAAGTATCTTGACACTTATTATCATGATAAATGATCAAAAAATTGAAATTTCAGAACAACATTGTTGAAAATTAATTTTGTTTCTCTGCTTCATGAAGTAAATGCATGTTATCAATTTTGTTTCCAATACAGAAAGGTAACTTTAAACTTTTTTATACTGATATTTATGTTATCTTATATTTTGTTTTAAGTAAACTTTTAAATTAAAAAAAAATCTTGTTTATAAGAATCAAACGTGAAAATAGTGCTAAAATTATTTATAAAGCAAGAAGAGATGCAAATGTGCTTTTTTCTTATATGAATTTTCATTTTTAATCTAACTGAATAATTAAGAGTTTTTGAATCTTTTTTTAATTAAAACTAATTTTGTCTATTTTTTTAGAATGTTTACAATAAATTCAGAATAATTTATAATGATATTCTATGATTAGGCATTTTGAAGATGTTAGTTCTGAAAGTATGATAGAGAAGTTTTTTGCTCTAGTTGGTCATGTAGCACTATGATGATTGAAAAAAAGTTCCTAGTTAATTTACATTGAACTGATGACATTTGAAAGAACTTTTCTGTGGCTCTGTGACTATCTTACACCCATGTAAAATCAGATTTACCCTTTTATTTTTAAAACCTTGGGATGAATTGGTACTAGCTTGCAGTACTAGCTTACAGGCTTGCACACCTTGTAGGCCTTTTGCCTACAGGATATTCTTTCGAGAACATAAAACAAAATATAATTTTAGATCTGCACAGCCACTGTCCTTTCTTGTTTTTCTTTAAATAACCTATCTTGTCAACAAACGGTATTCACAAATATGAACTGGAATACTGAAAAAAATAGCCAATTAAATGCCAAAATATAAGTAGTTCCACTACTGATGTTGCACAGATGGTTTAAGTTTCTGTAAGTCAGACATATGGTCAGTACTTTCAATTGGGAAGTGCATAAAACCTTGATCCTGGCTGATAATGAGGAGTTTCATAGCAACTCAATCTAATGAAAAGGAAGGTAAGCTTATGTTTGCAGGAGAGAGGCCTAATACCTATTAAAAGAAAAGGCAGAGTGGGCATCTGGAAGGTGAGTGATAGAAGGGGAGAATTCCAAATACATATGTTGTAACACACTGATTTGTGACACAAATATGCAGTCCTGAAGAGGTGAGCATGCACAGCTTTTGGTCTCATCCCAACCCATAATTGTGAGTGAAATTGACTTAAAAATGCTCCATGAATTTTGACAGCACCAATAAATAAAAAGATTTAAAAATGAGATAGCTAAATCCTAGGAGATTTAATAAGCATTTTTTCCCCCAGAAACTATCCAAAGGTATGAAACACTTAATATGAACATCTAGAAACTGCAAGAACTTGCAAACACGTTCAGTTTCAACTTGACATGAGAGAAGGTATGGGAAGTGTTATTTTGATCCCTTTAAAAAGCACTTTGCAGAGAAGCAGGGGGGCACCGCTGCTGAACATAAGCACTAGCTTTCAAAGCAGTAAGGAAAAACCTGGAAATATTTAAATAATATTGAATTACAACAGTGATGTTGGAGCGCCTAGGGTCGCACATCATAAAGGAGATGGCTGTTAAGGGTTGACACGGGTGTTTTAGACTTTCATGAGATCTGTCCTGTCACGCGCCAGCTCATTACAGAGTGTTAGACATGGGTGGATGAGGAGCTCAGTGAGAAGATGAAGACGTGTGAGCACACTCACAAAAAGACACCCCCTCACACGCGCGCCCTCCACGTCTTTTCAGCTGCTGCCCTCACCTCGGCTTAGTAATTCCCCCCACTCCTCCTTTTGCTTTGCAGTATTCCAGCTTTCACACGGAGCGATCCGAATCTGACCATGAGAGCCAGTGGGGCGGGAGTCCCCTGACCGACACGGCTTCCCCGCAGCTCCTGGAGCCTGCGGACAGGCCGAGCTCGCAGCACCACGACGTCTCCTGCGCCTATCGGCAGTACTCGGACCGCGGCGCGCTCTGCTACGGCTTCGCCCTCGACCACCCTCGCCTGGCCGAAGACAGGCATTTCCACACACAGGCCTGCGAAGGGGGCCGCTGCGAAGCCGGCAGGTACTTCCTCGGCACGCCGCAGCCCGGCAGGGAGAGCTGGTGGGGCTCTCGCTCAGCATTGCCCCTCACAAAGTCGTCCCCTGAGAGCAGGGAAGCCTACGAAAACAGCATGCCCCACATAACCTCCGTGCACAGGATTCACGGTAAGAGATTGCACGGGTTTGCAGAAGCGGCCGTGCCTCAGATACAGCAGGAGTTTCCAAGTCACGGCATAGAGCCGCTGCTGCTTAAGTGTGTGGGGAGCCACCGTCCCTGGCAGTGCTCAAGAAATGTGTGGATGAGGCACTTAGAGACATGGTTTAGCAGGCATGGTGGTGATGGGTTTATGGTTAGACCTGATGATCTCGAAGGTCTTTTCCGACCATAATGATTCTATGATTCGGTGTGATATAAGGAGAGAGACCACTGCTGCTTGGCCCTGTCTCAGAGATCGAGCGTGTGGAAGTGAGGAGTACCGACAGTTCAAGCTGAGTTTAACAGTCTGGTGTACATGCAGTAATTTCTTCTATATTTTTAATCTGTGAAATTAAAGTAGGAATACTTGATTAAGATCACCTTAAAATGATCTTAATCTTAAGACCTTAAGACCTTGTCTTAAGGAAGGTGCTGAAAATGTGAACAAAATGCCATGCTTAACAAAGTGTATTGTTTCTTTGACCTAAAGTCAGACTGGCCTGGATAAATATATGTAACAAAATTTCAGTTAGAATTAAAGTCATGAAGATATTAAAAATAATAATAAAAAATCTTTAAAGGTTTTTAAGACATTATTTTCCTATTTTATTTTTCAAACATTAGAACTATTTGCTGGTCATATCTTATACTGTAAAAAATGTGCATAAAAACATTAAGAAACTTGTTCTTTGAATAGTCTCGGCCAGACTGAAAGGACAAGTATTAAACTTATTTCTTCAGATTCAAGATGTTTAGATAAAGTTCACGTACATATACATATGACTGGGTGCTTAAGCAAATGAGATATAAAGAACTTTAGGATTAGCTATTACAATTTACTAAGGACCGCCTAGTTTCGTGTGATACCTGGTTGAAATGACCTGGTGAGATATATTTCAACAAATTTGGATTAGTTTAAATGGTTGCATGTTTGGGGGGAAAAAAAGGACTTTTTTGTCTGCATTGGTAAAATATGTAAGAATTACTATATTTTTTTAATTATTATTTAAAACTGAGAATTCAAATAAACTCTTATTTTTTGGTTTCTGACATTTACCAGCAGGTCGCATAACACATCTTTGGAGACTGATGTTGTTTGAAAATTCAGATGGAAAGGCTGATTGGGATTGGGCATGGGTAAACTCAAAGGTACTTGGGTTTAAAGGCTTAGAGCTGAGAGAAAGAAACTGACCTGCAAAACAGGTCTTAAGGATAGATGCTGCATAAAATAACCCAAATATTTTTCATTTAAATGTGTTTGTCAAACATAAGTGGTATCTATAGAATTCAGAAGAGTGCATGGTTGAGGACTATTTAAACTGGTGTCCTTCCATTGACCTGTAGAATGAGTCTGTTAAAAGCCAGGAAGAACAGTTACAGTCTAACGAAAATTGTGTTGAGAATAGAAAAATGCCTAAGTTAGAGGAAAAGTAAGAGCAAGTTAGAGAAACAGAAGTCCTTAATTTTGTTGAGCAGTGCTATTCTCCACTTTTCTTGTTAAAGCACACTGTCCTTCATTGTGTCTGTTTTTTACATCTGTCATACTTGTGTTTCACTAGCTTTTTCTCCACAAAAAAAAAGAACTAAGAAGAGTATGATGACTTTGCAGGTTACATTATGTTATATGTGTGATAATTCTTGCTAAATATACCAAGACAGTAATACAGAAATATTATATTAAGAAACAAATATAGTAGTGTTAAATAATTATTCCATACTTTTACAGAGTAATCATTCTAAACTGATAATATAATTTGATTTTAGTTTGTTCTTTGGTTTGACTATTTTTCCAGGCGCTGCAGTTAAATGCTGTACTGTATTAAAAGTATCTTGTTTCATTGGGCCTTCAGTCTGCATTTAGCTTTGAGATCAAAACTTGACATGTCACTCTCTATTGAGGAGAGGAACACCTCGGCTTGCCTTGAAAATGTACAAATGTACTAATTTCAGACCTTGGCCTTTCACAAATTAAGCAATTTTTGACAACAATATGTGAACTTTGCTGCCAGAGTAGCTTTCTTGGGCTGCTTATTTTTTTCTCCTTTTCTGTTCTTCTCAAATATCCTTTGGTTGGTTACATTTTCCGGTTACATTTTCCCATTCTAAAAGATTTATAAAGCAAATACATAGGGAAATTAGATTTTTTTTTCCAGTAGCCTGTCTAAACTCTCTAAATGTGAGGTTCTTATGAGTTCTTTTGTATCTAATGAATTGTAGCTACTTCATGACTTCCGTTTGGTCACATGACACTATGCCTGCATAATGGCACTTTGGGGCCACAAACTATTCCACAGTGATTTTCCTCACTGTGTTTTACCTCTTGGAAAGAACTAAGAAGATACACTGGAATGATGCACACTTGTAATTCTTTGAAATGTTTGTTTTAACTGTCTTCTCAATTCACTCAGACTTTGTTGATGCAAACAGGTAGTGAGACATTTCAAATGGGAGCCAGAGCAGAAATATGAGCATCTAATGCAATTCGTCTTGGTATCCTGCCTGGTCACTAAGCTTCTGTATATGCTGGGCCTGTGCAGACCCGTCGCTTGCCATAGTGTGTCTCAAATGGCATCAGATATATGTGCTTAGGTGCTTAAACCTCTTTGTTGTGTGCTATAAAGTCTGTTTATTACTCATTTCATGTGCAGAATGACACTGGAGACTGACTCCTAAAAGCAAGGGTTGTAGGCTCCATGGTCATTTTTGGTGACTTTGTTGCCAGTCACTTGCCTCTGTCTTGCTTTTCTGCCTGTAAAAATAAGTTTTAGAGTACTTATTCTTTAAGACTGTGTGCCACCTTTAACCTCAATGCTTGTCCCCTTTCTCTCTTTCCTAGGGAGAGGACACTGGGATGAGGACAGTGTTGTTAGTTCTCCTGATCCTGGCTCTGCCAGTGAGTCAGGAGATCGATACCGTACTGAGCAGTATCAGAGTAGCCCACATGAACCCAGCAAAATTGAAACTCTAATAAGAGCTACCCAACAAATGATTAAAGAGGAAGAAAACAGACTACAGCTACGGAAAACAACCCCTGATCCACTGGTCTCCATTAATGGCACAGGGAAGAAGCATGCCATTTGTTTTGCAAACTACCCTCAGCAGCAGTTGGCAGGGGACATCTGCCGTGTCCCTACAGTGGCCAACACTCCTCCCTGTGAACACATCCAGCAACGAGATGGAAAGATTATGAGCCCACATGAGAATGACTATGACAACAGCCCCACAACGCTGTCTAGGATAAACAGCCCCAATTCTGACCGAATATCAAAATCTAGTTTGGTACTAGCTAAAGACTACATGCATTCAGACATGTCCCCTCATCAAACCCCAGGGGACCACCCAGCAGCTTCTCCAAATTATTACAGCTCCCACAGGCAGTACTTTGATAAGCATGCTTATACATTAACTGGATATGCGCTGGAGCATTTATATGACACTGATACCATTAGAAACTATTCGCTGGGCTGCAATGGATCACATTTTGATGTAACTTCTCACTTAAGGATGCAGCAAGATCCAGCACAAGGACACAAGGGGACATCTGTTATAATAACCAATGGAAGCTGACACTTTTTCTAAAAACTTTTGTGTGTTAAAAATAATCTTTGAGACATAATTGGAAGATATTCTATGTTTTCATGCCCTTGTTGTTACCAGCATTTGATATACCACAGTGCACTAGAGAGAATAACCTAACATTTTGGGGGATAAGTTGGGATAAGTTAGTTAACACGTTACTATAAAAAAATAAATAAAAATATGCTGACATGCAGGGTTATAGTGGATGGAGCTAAACTTGGTGCCATGCGAGGTGGAAGGAATGGAAGAGGTCTAGGCACAGAGCACCTGGGGCAGGCAAGCAGAGCAATTTATGCACATGGTGTAAGGGGTGATTTTTTGTAAGTGCTGCCAAAGGCAGCCCTGAACTGCGTGTGCCTCACAGGTCCCAGCCAACAAAGCCGCTATGCACTCTTTTTACACATAAAGCTGGAATGTGTTCCTTTGAAATACACCTCAGTATGTGTACTTCTGGTGATCTGTTTATTCCCTAAAGGCCAGGTGTGTTATGCTGCTCTATGGTATAAAGCATCCATGGCTAACCAACACAAACTCATAAAGGGGAGAAAGGAGAACTCCTCCAAATTTGTATCCTCGTATACTCACATGCATAGTTATTTGCATATGCTTGATTTGAGAGGAGTAAAATGAGTAGTATCCTCACGAATTTTAAGATCAAATGCTTACTTCTACTTTATTTCAAAGAAAGAAAGATGACCTTTCTCAGTGTAATTTTGAGAAATACGTAAGTCTTGGTTGTCTTGATACAGCAATGGGCGATAGGCCTCAAGTTTTTGAAAGATCACACAAGGCAGGTAGTAGAGTGAAACAGAAGAAAACCAGTAAGCAGAAACAGACAGAAGAGACTGGAATAGGGGGTGGTCCAAGATAAAAACATTTAACCCTGTGGCTATTTGATAATGAATGTAACATAAGGAGAAGTGCATTTAAGTGGCCAAATAATTAATTTAAAATACAAGAGGAACTCAGTAGAATAATGGAAATTTTTCTGTAAAATACAGTTCTGTTAATGTAAAATGTGAAAGGTAAGAATAGACAGAAACTCTATGGTGCTTCTTCCTAATTTTGGGAAAAATTGGGTGTAAATTACAAAAGTGTTGAAGAATGTAAATCTCTAAGTCTTACACACAGTTTAACGTGATAGATACTGCTTCTCAAAAGGAATATGCATTCTTGCTTTGTTTGCAGCAGAAAATGTAAGCGATATCAGGGATCTCAAAATCAGACATATGTACACCAAAAATATCGAGGGAAAATAGGTTCCCAAGAAATTCAACTGCATTAAGACTGCTGATATTATCAGGGCCTGTCCTAGAGTTACAGAAGACATCAAAGGAGGCAGAGGAACTTTTTGCAATTTTTAATAATCTCATGAACAAAGAGGCACTAATTGATTGGAAAAGAGTCAATATAAAACATATGCTTAAAAAGTAAAATAGAGCATTTGTAGTCAGAATTACTAGATCCTTCCTTCTTTGTATGGCATTTATATGAAAGCTCAAAACTGTCTGCAAATGAGGCAGGGCCACTGCTCCTCATTATCCCAACCTGGAGAAAAACGGGTCTTGAGGTGGTCACTAAAATGAGATTAGCACTACAGGCTAGCTTCATTTGTAACATTAAGAAGCTGGACATATGGGATTGAGTCATCAGTGAGACTAAATATAAACCAGCATGCTAGGGGTGGGTTAAAAATATCTATTTTCATATAAAACTAATCAGAAGCAAAAGCTAAATAATAACAATATAAGCCACGTAAGCAGAGATGTACTTGAAAGCAGAGGAAATTACCTCTCTGAACTTGGAATATTGTGTATAGTTCCGATCACTCCACGGCAGATTGTGAATCTTGAATTGGGTAGTACTTCACTCCATAAGCAACCTCTGTTGACTTCAGTGTGATCACTCATGGTGAAATGTACGTTGAACACAAGGAAGAGCAACATAGTCTGGTCTTTATTACCCGAAGCTCATAATAGAAAAGGTGGAGCAGAGCTCAGCAAAAAGATAAAGAGCCTGAAAGATCTAATAAAAACTTAAAATAAACTGGGTCTGTCATCTTTGTAAAAGGAAAGAGTAAGAGGGAATGTCACTGGTGTGCACCAAGCTCTGCACAGAGGAGAGATAAATAATGGTCTAAAACTATTTGAACTAGTGGCAGACATGAGAGACAGGGCATTGAATGCTAGCCAAGGCAAAATGAGAACAAAATGATTTGGCAAGAAGTTTATTTGACAAGCTGCCAAATGAATAACAAAGGTCATAAAGAGAAGCAGCTACAGATTTTTGTTTGTTTGTTTTAAGATAAAAACAAGGCAGATGATAATTGAAGGGAAGGAAAACACTGACAACTGCTAACTCAGAGGAAGGAATGGACCAAAATGGACTTCTTTCAGCCCAGCAATTGTATATGTTCCTAAAACAGAGGAATGAGAAGTATTTTTGATAATTCTAGTTCTGGATACATATTTATTTCATTTATTCCTATGAATAATACAAATAAATTTGTACTTGGTGTCTCATTGTACAGCATTAAAATACATTTTGCAAAGTAAATTAGAGTAGAGGTATACAGAATCCTATTACATCTACTAGTACATATAAAAAATGAATCTAAATGTCAATATTATATTGTATCGCAGCAGTTTCCTAAACTGGTTGTGTGAATGGGATTTTGTCAGCACCCAGGTTTCCTGGGGTCACCAAGCACTGTCGTTATCAAACCTTTAATTAGCAGGCAATAGAGTTCCACAGAGTAGCTGCAGTTCCCTGGTTTAGGTCTAATGGACCACAAGCATTTAGGGAAACAACAGTTTGGGTGCTGTTGTATTTGCAGTCTGACAGGCACTTCCGAAAAAATTGAAGACTTATAAAATAAACAGGCACAATATAGGATGCTTATATTCTATATTACATCACCTAGGAAAAAAAAAGCCAGTGTGTTATGCAATAAAAAATCCCTATTGTAATCCCATTTACTGTAATCCCCAAGCCTTTCCAAATTGTATCTATTTGCAATAGCTCCAGTCCACTACAATGGCAAATGCAAAGAAATGCACTGTAATAACTAGACTCCCTAATCTATTGGTAGAGACGTGGAAGGGCCTGTACCTGCCGCCACGCTGCACTGCAAGCAAAGGCTGACACTTTCTCACCCCTCTGTGGGATTCCAGCAACTGCTGCTCCTTCTTTAGTCCTCCAGCACCATGTGCTGCAGATGATAGATCCTTTTGTCAGCTAATTTGCCATCTCGCTTCCTTAGATAGTCAGAAATTTCTTTTTAATTGGCAGCATCAATTCTTGCAAACGTAGAACCTGCATGCTATGCGATACATGACAGCAAGTTTGCAATCTTAATTATAGCATATAATATCATTACAGCTCATATAACATATACTTTTCAATATGGTATAAAGCATATCTTTTCCAGTATGTATTTATTTAATTCTAATTTTTGTTCAGTATCCTTCAAGGATACATTCTTCTTCTTTCTTTTCCTTTTCTAAATGAAATGAAATGAGGTATTTTGGAAAATTCATAAATGCAAGGCATTTGTACTGAATATATCTCAAATATATCACGTAAGTTAAAGGCTATCACTTTAAAACAGATCTACAGGTTTTGTTTAGGCGGAGGAACAGTATAAATTCATGTGTTTCTTCATTCTCTAACTTAATAGTGTTTCACAGTTACCTATTAACACCAAACTATTTTTTTAGCTCAAACTATGGAATGAACACAGCTCTTCCAAATAATTTCTTACTGAATGCAGTGAATGATGCACTACAGTTTTTGTTGTTCCCTTTTAAAAGACCAAAAAAAAAGTCATTAATAAAAAAATTGCATCCTGGGAGCATGGAATTTGTCATTGTGAGTGAATGTGCTTAGCAATTCATAAATTAAAGTATGAACCTTACTCAGCAATGTGTCCCATTGACTCAAATGGGAAAATTTGTGGAGTAAGATACTACTTAATGTGTGTAAGGGCAAAAGAAGTTGACTTATAGTGACTTAACATTAGCATTTGTGTTTGTTTGAATCTTTTTCTGATTCTCAAGATGTGAATATGGAAACTAGGAAAGACAATGGCTGCAAAGGCTGTTTTTTATACAGACTTTGAAAAAAAATGAGTGCACGTCTTTTCACTGAAGAGACCCAAAAGCATTTCTTAAGCTTTCCATGGCTTTTGATGATGTACCTGCAATACTGCCACAGGTTACATTGTGAAATCCTGCTTATACAAACCCTGTTAATCCCTCTTATCTGAATCTCATTTTTACCTCTGGACATGCACCATTTATTCAACAATTTCGCTAAATGTGTTAACCACCATATGTTCATTTCTGTGCATATGCTGAATGAGTTGAGGAAAAAAAAAATCCATGCTTATGTAGTAGTTCTGGAGAAGGTAGAGCCACGGTAGAAAATCTGTCTGGCTCTTGCACAGGCCAATGGACTTCTCAGTTACGGAGCAAAGCTATGGCAACTGCACGAGTTTCACACCTTGAGCATGCAAAGCTCTTTAAAAGGGGAATTACAGCACATTGTTCCAGGATAAGGCCTAGTTAGGTATATTTTAATTAATATCTGTCAGCAAATAGATTCAGGTTCTGGTTTTCTTTTCTATGAGTCACAAATTTATCAACAAAAGCTGAGAGACTGAAGGCAACATGAGTTTTCATATTAAAGGTGTATGATCTTGTTGTAGGTATATTGGATTAGCTCCAGAAGTCTCCACACACTGGTACTGAATAAATAACCTGTATTATGTTATTTGCAGTTAGCATCGATGGTTAAATATTCTGACTGTGTGCACTGAGACAAAACAAAAAGCACGACACAATGCTTTTCTCTAATCCTTAGCCTGGTGTTTGTAAAGCCCACTAGAGGCATAGCTGAGAGTTTAGCAAAGTATTTTTACTGACTTCTATTCTGAAGAAGAAAAAAAAAAATTGCCTGTTTGGAATGGTGACTACCAGTGCAGCTCC